TTTTGTGACTCTTGAAAGCACGTACAGTGTTTAAAACACATATTCTTTGAAGCAATTCCTACACTGGAATGTAGCAATAATTTAACTCTCTATGGAGGTAACTGAAAACTACATCAATATATCATGCTCATCCAAGTAAAACGTATCCCCAAATCAAATTCTCTTGAATGGATTCTCAAAGTGCCTGGGCAGTTTTGACACTACATAACAGGAAGAGGGAGTATGATGGACAGGCGGTTGGGATATAATCAATAACCTGAACTGGTAGCAGTAGAGTATTTGCCTTAGACATTGCTGGAAAATGTATGACCACAGGAACACATTGCTGAGTTTTGACCCCGAATCTTGGAAACCATCAGTGTAAGTGAAAGGTCTGGATGCATGAGATGAGATTCAGGAATTGTAAAATGATCGTATACATGATAAAAAGGAGATTTTTATATGAATTATGTGATAAACTGAAAGTTTTGGGGACTTCTTTTGTTTTATTGGCTGACTGAGTACAAATGTACCTGCATCTAAATCCACATGGTGTGGTACAGAGGTATGAGTGTGGTTGGAATGGGCCTGACCAAAATATATGCATTGAAACAAAAAATGTGAAACTATGAGAGAGAGCAGGGTAAAGGGGGATAGTGAGGGCAGGAATCAAAATATGCTATGTGCATGTACAAATCTGCTAAAATGAAACCCATCAATTTGTGTAACCAATATGCACTAATAAAGAGACATGAAAAAATCCATATGGCACTGATTTGGAATGGACATCTTAGTCTCACATTCTCAATAATTTGACATTCTATCATTTTCAAAAACCCTTTCCCAGTCACAGTTTCTTTAGTCTGTTTTCCTGTCTGCTCATAAGACTTGACCTAAATTAAGGCACTCGTATAATATAAGTGGAGTGAGTGTGTGTGTGTGTGTTTGTGTGTGTGTGTGCATGTGTACTTGTATTTGCGTTAGGAATATGGGTCCTCTTATGATCAATAAGGATATCTTTTTAAGCCAACTTGGCTTTTAGTGTGTGTTCTCCCAAGATCTGGTAGAGCTTTTCGGTATGTCTGCTAGCCAAGGCAGATACAGCCCATAAAGAAACATACAAAAGGTTAAAACCAGGAACCAGATACTAGGTACAAAGCATATTTTCTTTTGATAAATGTATCCACAAAATTTCTCTTCATTTAATAAGTGTTCACAGAGCATCTATTATGTCATGTGTCCTCTGCAAAGACAGCAATCTACAAAATAGGGAAAACTAGGAAACACTCTAATATGAATCAAAAAAATCAATGGACTCCTGGTCCAGCACTCTCTTCTGCATTGTCTCAGTCTTTCCTTGTTTTTGAGGTATTTTGTGGCTCTTTAAATGTAATGCAACATTGTTAATTTCCTATCACCTCGTCTGGAATTCTGTATTACTTGCATTGTTTATGTGTTATCTTGTAAATGTATGTGTGTTTGTTAATAGGTCTTTGTTCCTTTATCTTTAAAATAAAAGTAAATAAAAATAAATTGTGCAAAATGTATAGTGCTGCAAACAAGCCTTTTTCAGGGAAATGCAAATGTCCCATGGAAAGCAACTAATTCTTGCCTTGTAGATGTTAACCAGTTCAGCCAGCTTTGCTTCTTTTTATAAGTTATTTTCCACATTTCTGAGGCCTACACATTTTTATGTCTTTTGGATTCTCCTTTGAATCATTTGCAACACCTTACAGATTTCTGCATTAATTAAAAACTCTTTAATATACCCTAATTAAAATTTTTGACATGTATGCATGTTATTTTTATAAGAGAGCCATAATTTTACCATTTTTAATACTTCTTCTTTAGCCTCACAACACATACTTCATGGAAGCTATAGGTATGTTAACCATATTATCTCCTACAACTATATGTTGGCAGGTTCTTAGCAGCCCTGAGGGTCTATAACAGGGCCACCTCATATTGTCTTTTGATCAAAGCAGAACCCTCATGAAAATTGACATTTGATTTGATCAAGTGGAGTTTATAAGGTGTGTGCAGCATGTGTAGGCAGAGAGAAGAATTCAAGAGCAAGCCAGATTGTCATGCACACAGCTGGGGATCAGTTCTCCCAGAAGGAGATTTGTGGTCCTGGGAAGGGCAGGTACTGGACAACACTTCCGATAAGCCGGGAGAGTTCGCAGCTGCCATGGCCTGTGCTTCATGATAAGAGAGTCTGCAGGCAAGCCGTCTTCAAATAAGATGAGTCCAAGGGCTTGGGGGAGATGGGCTCGGAGAACCTAAGGGCTGCTGTCTCTCCCCTCGATTTCCTGGGATGAGGGTTCCAACTACTTGCTTTGATGATCAGACACACAACTTCCTTAAAAACACATTTACCCCAGGCTCTACAGTGGTACATTTCATACAGCAAGAGCTTGATTTGTCTGTATGGCCAGGTTAGGTCATGAAACCTGCGTTCATCAAACTCCATCATTGTTTTTAAAGGGTCATTTTATAATTTCCTGACCATTTTCATTCTGAATCCTGGGTTCAGGGGTAAACCCCACTACCTGCAATGCCCTTGTTCAGGGTAAGGGCTCATTCTATACCTCATTTATTTTTCTACCCAGTGGCCTTTCCTGGGAATGACCATTATGGATGGCCTCATCTCAAATGCATTGCTTCCTTGATCCTTATCATTTTACTCTACAGTGGTACAGGCTGCCGGCAGTCTGCCATGGGCCAATCTCTCCCTCTTCCACAGAAAATTCTAGCTGAGGTCATGGAGACAGCAGGGGAAGGCAAAATACCAAATAAAGTGCCTCTTTATGTTCTTTTAAAATACAAATTTTCAGTGCATTCCTGTGTATCTGGTAATAAAAAAAAAAAAAAAATGACTGCTGAGTGATCAAAAGGAGAGGAAAGATTTTTTCTAAACTTTACAGATTTGTGGGGTAAGTTTTCTTACAGATGTCATGTTGGGAGCTGATTTCACTGGCAGGAAGACATTTCTGGAAGCTAACAATACCCTGCAAGGATTGAGAAGTACTACAGTAAGCAGGCTTAATTCCTGACCACATATGATCACCCTGACTAATGCCAGACTTGCCTCAATCCTGCTAATGTCCCCCAAGAATGCACATGATCACATAGTCACTGTTTTTGCTATAATAACCCAAGTACACTTTCTCTGCACAAAGCCCTCATTTGCTCTAACTGGACCTGTATTTCCCAGTTGGAAAATCTATTCTGTACCCAAACAAAACTGCCTTTCCTTTTATGTTAGTCTGCTTTATGATTTCTTGGTTTCCATATCTTTGGTGCAAAGCATTTCTTGTCTGAGGGACCCACTCATTAGATGATTGTATTTACTCAAATGAAATTCAATTGCAGTGAAGAAATCCAAATGAAAGGATTTTGACAACTGTAGCTAGTACACACTTAATTATAAAATGCCATCATTATAGGCTTCTCCCAGCCCTAAAGAACCCTAATGCCTTTCCCTCACAGAGCACTGGTAATGCCTCAATACTAATTCTACTAGTAGAATTCATTGATCTTAGTCAAACCAAATTGCTGTTAGTAACGCGAATATACACATATTCAAAGATTTGTTTGCACATCTGCACATCTGCCTTGAGGAAGTTTATTTTTGACCTTGGAAGATATTAATACATAGGTGTGAATGATATTATCAGAGTATTTACAATTTTCCAGACTTCAAAGAATATATTGGTTATATAGTTTGTGGTTACAATAATAATATTCTATATTTATGAGGTTCATATGCTAACCACCATTCTGAGCATTTACATAGATTATATCACTTATCCCACTCAAACACCGTTATAAAGAGGCTTTATTGTCCCCATTTATAAATGGTCATATACACAGAGTCTACTTGACCAGTAATGAATCACTATAACATTTAGAGTCAGGATTTCCACCAAAGTTGTCTGTTCCAGTCCTCACAATCTTACAACTCATAAAGTTTTTTTCCTATTTATCTTCTTAGTCATACAATTGATGTGGTAAAGTATAGTACTTCTCACATTTGTTTTAGGCTATGAAAGCTGACACTTGGCCAGTGAAGTGATGGTTTCAATCCTGTATACATAGAAGAATCATCCAGAGATTTAAAACTCCTTGCCTAGACCTATATCCCCCTGAGACATTAATTTACCTATTCTAGGTGAGGCCTGACCATATATATATCTCTATCTCTACCTCTATCTCTCTATCATCTATCTATCTATCTATCTATCTATCTATATCTACCTATTTATCTATCTATCTATCTGGATTCCTGCATAGACAGAGTTAGGAACCACTAAGTTTTTGACACAAAATTATTGAACCAAATCCACAGGCATCATCCAGAGAAGAGAGACTCAGAATGCAGATGGAGTTTGTTGGATTTCTCTGTGGTGACTTCAAATATGAGGCACAAGGTCTCTCGGTAGTGGGGATTGGGTCTTGTCCTCCAGTGTCACCTGTCATCACAGCTCCTTTTGGGTCTCAGCATGCCACCCCAGTGAAACACTTATGGTGTGTTCTAGGAAAACTTCATGTCTCTGATCTCCTGGCTGATAGTTCACCCCTCAGTTTGGAAAACACACTTCCTCCTCTTCCTGCTCACCTGTGACTATAAATGTTTGTTCCTGTGGGAAGGGATCCTTGGCCTTGATCTTCCTTTGCCTAACTACAGACTTGTGCAACATCCTACACTTCCCTCATCACAGTACTCACCATACTAGATTTCAGTGGTCCTCAAAGGGTTCTACATTAATTTATGCTTCCATAGGTAAAGGATTGATAGAGTTAGCAAGTAAAATTGCAGGATACACAGTGATAACTGAGTTGCAGGTAAGCAACAATTTTCTGTTAGTATACCTACATTAAAAATACTATGTGGAATACACTTATCCTCAAGAAAACTTGTTATTTATATGAAATTTAAATTTGACTATATTTTACCCCATACAGTTGCTTTCTGAGTGGGAGGAGAATTTCTTTTAAATATTCTTCATGTTCCATAGATCTGAAGATTCTGTTAAGCTTCTTCTAAGAAGATAAGACCTCACTGAACCTTGCCGTACAAAAAATGAGCTACAGGCCACCTAGGCATAACTATTCAGAAATACATATTAAAATGAAGATTCTTGAAGCTGCTGTGAACTTAATGAATCAGATCCTCAGAATCTTGGCCAGAAATTTTAACAGTGTGATGGTAAATTGTACATGTCAACCTGACAAGGCTGAGGAATGCCCAGATACCTGGTAAAAACTTTATTTCTAGGTATGTTCTTGTAGGTGTTTCTGTTTGAACCAGTGGGAGGAGTAAAGAAGATAAGGGTGATTATTGTGCAGTCTCCTGAGGAACAGAATGCCACAAAGCATGGCAGAAGGGTGATATTCTCTTGGCTTAAGCTTGAACTCTCATCTTCTCCTGCCCTTGGACATTGATATTTGTGGTTCTCAGGCTTTTGGATTCAGACCAGAACTGATATCACTGCCCTCTAACTCTCAGATTAAGACTGAAACGCATAATCACCTTTTCTGGTTCTCCAATTTGCAGATGGAACATTGTGGGACTCTTTGCAACATAACTGTGTGAGTCAATTCCTGTAACAAATCTCCTTTTGTGTATTTCCCTATGTGGTCTATTGCTTCTGTTTCTCTGGGGAACCCAGACTAATACATACCTTCATCTGCACTCTTAACCAACAACTCAGGCAATTCTGATGAACTGTGAATTTACAAATCTATGTCAAGAAAATAACTTTTTGATGGAACTTTGGGGCCTAATGTTCAAATGCGCATAGGTAGGAAAAATCAAGACTCATTTCAGTTTTGCCTCTGTTTTCTCCCTTTAGGGTGAGTTTTCAAATATCATATCTATTCTATTCACTATTCTATTCCTACTGGCTATCATAGTGCCTACCATACCATAGTGGCAAGCTGGCTATACATAATCAAAAAATAGGAAAGAATAAAAATTGAATTGTGATAAAAGTCATTTAGCAAACAAGATTCTTTCAACAAATAAGATTTATTTGGTACTTTTTGTGTTCCAGACACTGTATTAAGAAATGAGGATACTGCTCTGAGCAATATAGGCAAGTGCCTACTTTCACTAAATCCATATTTTTCTAGAAAAATATAAGCATTAAACATAGTATGTTTAGTCTCAGAGATAGCTGCAATGAAAACTAAAATAGAAAATTGATATAAAATGCAGGGGGGTTGTTACTCCAACATTTATTTCTATATTTTTATTCTGTTTGGATATCTAACCACTGGGTGGGTATACTCTGATTAATAATTGGTTATGGTAATCCCATTCTCCTTTGCATGAGTTTTATAGTTCAACAGGTGATCCATTTCTGAAAAGTGAGAAATAAATCAAAATATTTTACTAGTAGTTTCTTTACTCTTCAGGTAAAATATAAGTAGGAGCAATGGCCTTTTCCTTTGAGGAATTTCAGATTGTGTATGACAATCAGGGTTATGCAGCTGATGAGGAGGAATAGGATAACAAAGGGGCATATCCTACTTCTTGATAGTTCTAGTAAACACCTGAATTTACCAACTGTGGTCCCATCTACCTTTCTTGTGACATGATACATAGTTTTTATTTCTGAAACCGTTTTAAATTGGATTGTCTCTGCTTGTATCACAAATACTCTAATAATGACAATGAAATAGAGTATGATAGGTGGGAAGGGAATGTGGGTAGTCCAAAGACTACCGAAAATTTCTTGCTGGTGTGATAATATTTGAGCTACAGACTTACATAGTGAGAAAATAACAATGAATCATTTGAATATCTGGGAGCAATAAATTCACAAAAAGAGGCTATAATGTCCAAAAATCCTAATTTGTAAATAAACTTGATGTGTTCAAAGCTTTAGAGGGCCAGCTGAGGTGGGGAATGAACTGTCTATATGGATTCACCAGTGGTATCATTTAAGATCCCAAAGATGAAGGCAGAGAATAAACTACAAAGGTTTCAAAGGCTAACTACAGCTTTCTTTCCAAAGATGGCTGCACCTTAATTCCTAGAATTTGTGAAGATGTTACCTTGTAACAGTTCTAAAAAGGACTTAGTAACTGTGATGAAGTTTGAGATCATGTGATGATCCTGGATTATCCTATCTACCCACATGTAATCAGAAGACTTTCCATAGCAGTTCTTGTCAGATATGGAGGATCCAACATAGAAGACAATGTGACCACAGAACAGAGGGAGAAAAGGTGAAATGTTGTGGGGTCATGAGCCAAGAAATGAAGGAGTCTGGAAAAGTCAAAGAAACAAATTCTCTTCTAAACGGAATTACCCCTGCCTGCCCATTGCTTACAGGCCCATAACACAGCTTTGGGGTGTATGGTCTCCACAACTGTAAGATAAGAATGTATGTTTTCTAAGCCACTACTTTATGGCAATTTGTTACAGCAGCAAAAGGAAACGCAAATGACAGGGCATTGTGTGCTGTGGAAAGTGGCTGAATCTAAGGGAGGGATTTATGCCAAGGGGAGTAGACTAGGTGTGGAAAGTTGACAAGAGGAGCAAGATCTGATACTACTGCTATAATGGGAAACAGGGGACCATGGACACACGGGTCAAAAGGAAGGTGGTAATGGGAAGGGTGACTCACCACCTCCATTTGTTAAAGATTGCAAGGGGTTCCCAGGATATGGACATTTCTATTTTAAAGCAGAAACAGTCCTGACATGCAATCTGGAAGAAATTTCTGAATTGTTTGGGGTAAAAGAGAGAGGGTGCTGTTGGTAGGCATTATCAACCAATCAACAGATAAAAAAGATGTGGGTTTTTTAAATGCAATAGAATACCACTCAGCCATAAAGAAGAATAAATTTGGGACATTTTTAGCTAAATGGACACACCTTGACAGCATACTCTTAAGTGAAATAAATTGGACACACCTGTGTAAATATCACATTGCCTCTCTCACGTGAGAAACTGAAAGTATAAATAAGAACCAAAATATACAATAGATATTGTGAAATAGGAACAAACTCTTCAAAAGGCAAGGGGAATTGGAGAGGGGGAAGGAAGGGGAAAAAATGAGGAAAAAAGATAAAATGGAAACAAAGCTTTATAAATGAGATGAAGAGGGATTTAGGGGAGGGGAGGGGAATGGGAAATAAAAAATTGGAACTAAGATATGTCATGTACAGGTACAAGTTCCCTATGAGATGAATGTGGTCATTCAGTATATCTAAATTGTACCAATAGACTTAAAAGACAGAGGATCTGATTAACCCCTGATTTGGGCAAGAAACTGGGTAAATGTTGGCTCCTCTTAAAGAAAAGAAGTGGGCAGAATGGGACATAGATTGGAGGGGGTGGTGAAGAGCCCAGTGACACCTAGTGGTAAGAGTTGGGAGATAGGATGCTGACCAAGAAATAGTGCAACAAAAATCAACTCACTCTATTTCATCATTTTGCAAGCACCAGCCCTGAAGTTACCCAGTCCAGAGGCTATTTTTTCTTCATTTGAAATAATCACGATAACAGCTTTGTCCTTACAAATTGAGTTTGTCTTCCAAGGTGTTTGCAAGAGCTTTACAAGAAGCTTAATCAGTTTCACATGAATTAATGATGGCTATCAAATGGGGGGAAAAGAATGAATTCCAAATAAATACTTATTGCATAATTGAAGTTGCAAGAACCCACTATGAATAAAATATATTTGTATTTACAGGGCATAAATCTGATGGTGAAACTGTAGGGTGACACACAGCTTTTTGATAAGAACTCTGAACAGTGTTAAATTAGTAATAGGCTGAATACATTTCTTAATTATGTCACGGCATTGTGCTTGGGAATACCATTTGCAATAAATTGAGTCCCATTTGTATGCATGCAGCACAAGGAGAAAGTGTCTGTATTGTGAAAATCCTACTGTACTCATGGGAACACAGGTTAATGTCATCTGCTGCTTAAAATGAGTCCTTGGTTTCAGAGCTTGCAATTGTATTAAGACTTATCATGTACTCTTTCATCAAAGTAATAATTACTATAGATTTACATATCCTGCCACAAGCAGAAACATGACTCCTTCAGGGCTTTTAGAAGGGGGAAGCAATTATATGAGAAAAATAGAGATACGGATACATGATAGATAGATAGATAGATAGATAGATAGACAGGTAGATAGACAGACAGATACGTAGATACATAGAAAGCAAGATCTTTTTAAAAATGAAAATACAAAATTAAAACATTTTTTCTTATTGAAATGACTGTAAAATAGGTGAAGGCACAATTACAAAAGTGAAAAGCATCCTATAGTGGATTAAATAGTCAAACAGACAACAAAGAAAAATGTCCTAATTCCTGGAACTTCTTAATTTAACTTTAAAGGAACTTTGCAGATATAATCAAATTAAGGAACTCATTGGAGAGCCCTAAATTCAGTGACAAGTATCTTTATAAAGAATGATTTGAGATTTGAGACCTAAAGCAGACCAGCGCTGGGGCCTACAGATAGCGTGGAAACATTGTGTAACAGAACATAGAATTGAGACAGAGGTACCGAGAGAAGAAAGGATGTAACAAATTGGAGGCAGAGATTGGAGTCGTGTGTGTGCAAGCCAAGGAGCATAAAGCATCACCAGGAGGACCCAGAAACTGTGAGAGTCTTGGAATTCAGCTAGATAATATAGTCATAGTGTAACGTTTGAATACTTAAGTGATAACAGATTCAGTGCAATAATTGACTTTGTGTAATAATTTACTGTAATAATGGACTCCATGTAATAACTGGTTCCTCATGTGATAATTAACTACTTGTATGATTATTTTCAGGGCAATGATTGATTCTAGTGTAAAATTGATTCTGTGTAATAACTGGTCCTGTGTAGTAATTGATTGTGTGTAATAATGGACTCTGTGTAGTGTGATGAGTTCTTTCTGTAATAATGGAGTATCAGTTAGCATTTCATTTCTGGGACTAAATACCTGAGAAAAGCAACTTAGAGAAGGAAATGGTTTCAGAGGTTTCAGTCCATGGTGAGCTGACTTCCTTGATTTTAGGCCTGTGGGGAGGTGGAACATCATGGTAGAAGGGTATAGCAGAGGAAACTTGTTGAACTTATGGCAAGGAAACAAAGACAATGACAGAACCAGATAAGAAGAAACTTAGGATCAGATATTGCCCTCAAAGTCACAGTTCCATGATGTGTTCCCTTTAACTAGGCCCCATTTCCTAAATTTCATGGCCTCCTGATAGTGATACCAAAGTATTAATCTATCAATGGATTAATCTGTTGATGTGTTTAGAGCCTCAATGATCCAATCACCCTCCAAAAGCTCAATCTGTAAGCACGTGAGCATTTTGGGAAACAGTTTAGATCCTAAGCATAACAGATAGGCTTTCTAATTATAGGTACAAACATGTGAATGCTTGGATTAGTAGAGATTCCAATAAAGAGGCACTTCTAGTTTCAGGCAATAAAAAATTGATGTGTGTCACCTTATTGTGCAGAGGAAAGATGAGAATCATTAGCCCATGCACCTAAGAAGTCAGGTGGATACTTGACTTCCAGCCCAGGCAGATCCACATTGCCCATGAGATCTTTGGGACTCTGTGGCCCTTTCTAGCTCTGGTTCTTGACTTTATTTCTAAAAGAGTCCACTCTCTACCTGGTAAGAGATGACCCTAGCAGCCCAGGCTTCCATGACACATAGTGTGATTTATCCCAAGGAATTTAAGAAAGCCCTGTTTTCTTTCTAGCATCCATATCAGCTCCCAAGGATAACTAGCCAGCCCAGTCTATGTACCCACACCTGAGACTCCAGAAGCAGACAGCTTGATGGACAAGTACATCATTATCACAGGGGTGGGGCGTATTCACAAAGTAAATGACCACGGTGCAGAACATGTAGGTAACAGATGTCTCCTGTTGTTCACAACTTGTGAGCTGCTGCCTCCCGAGGGCTGAGCACGAGCTTCATGAATTCATTCCAGCAAGTTCTTCAGTTTCAGGTGAGCTGTGCACTGTCTTTAGAACACTGAAATGTCTAATACCTGCATATTTATCTGGCTCATTTTCAAATAGGCATAACTGCTCTTATGCAGAATATAATGCAAAATCATTGAGGGCAACAGGTTTATAGTAATAGTTTGTCTTAATAAGTTTTCTAAATCGATATCTACTAAGTAGATAGTGACTGCCCACATACTATACTATATATTCTTTTTAAAAGACATCTTGTGAAATGCCTGTAAAACATGGAAGTGTACTGTGTATTTTTTACCACCTATTTGTGCCTTTTATGCCATAATTTTTTTCCTTAGTAAAATTTTTACAAATGTAGACAAAAACTGAAATCCTGTCTAAAACTTATATGCTCAGATTGGGATAATGAGAATGAGGCTCAATGAAAGAATCTTCAACTGTCTTTATAACCTTTTCCCTTCTGCTCTTTAGAACATAACATAAACATTTCTTCAGAAGGACGGACTTCTTATGATGTCTCTAATTATGTCTGTTGTGCTTTGTGGTTCCTCTCAGATTGATGTGTCCTATCATTTCTTCTCCACTTTCAATATATGCACTGAC